ATTTTTCAATGTTACGTAATTAGGCAACTCTCTTTCTCATTTTAACATATTATTGTAAAAATATAGAATATGTTAAAAAAATGAGATAATATATAAGATAATATAATAAGATACGATAATATATATTCATTGGTATTTGTAGTACATCGATTTTTTTATAAATTAATCCATTACATAATAACTAATCTCCAAATTTGTATCGTATGGTCAAATTAACAATTATTTATTATTGTTAAGTTATTTATTAAAAAATTCCACAGTGAATATCTAACGAAAACGTCTCCGTTGATTTGGCGTTCATTCGAAATCAATCACGTCAGATCACCAAAAAAAATCGATCAAATATACGGTTAAAAAATAATGGTTCATATAAGAAAAATTGGGCTAAAGTCTGCCTGTTGCTCTCTGGCTTATTGCACTTAAGTCTCTTATCGATCCGACATGATTTAAAGGTGATAAGTGTTATGTAACAAACTTACATTTACAGGGGAGACTGAAAGAGCCAGGTGGAAACACTCTCTCTCTCACACACACTCTCTTCCTCTCTATCTGTCTGTCTGTCTCTCTCACTCACTCTCTCTCTCTCTCTTTCTCTCTCTCTCTCACACACTCTCTCTCTCTCTCACACACACTCTCTTCCTCTCTATCTGTCTGTCTGTCTCTCTCACTCACTCTCTCTCTCTCTCACACACACTCTCTTCCTCTCTATCTGTCTGTCTGTCTGTCTGTCTGTCTCACTCACTCACTCTCTCTCTCTCTCTCTCTCTCACACTCTCTTCCTCTCTATCTGTCTGTCTGTCTCTCTCACTCACTCTCTCTCTCTCTCACACACACTCTCTTCCTCTCTATCTGTCTGTCTGTCTGTCTGTCTGTCTCACTCACTCACTCTCTCTCTCTCTCTCTCTCTCTCTCTCTCTCACACACACACACTCTCTTCCTCTCTATCTGTCTGTCTGTCTCTCTCACTCACTCTCTCTCTCTCTCTTTCTCTCTCTCTCGCTCTCTCTCTCTCACACACTCTCTCTCTCTCTCACACACACTCTCTTCCTCTCTATCTGTCTGTCTGTCTCTCTCACTCACTCTCTCTCTCTCTCTCTTTCTCTCTCTCTCGCTATCTTACACACTCTCTCTCTCTCTCTCTCACACACACTCTCTTCCTCTCTATCTGTCTGTCTGTCTCTCTCACTCACTCTCTCTCTCTCACTCACTCTCTCTCACTCACTCTCTTCCTCTCTATCTGTCTGTCTCTCTCTCTCTCACTCACTCTCTCTCACTCACTCTCTCTCTCTTCCTCTCTCTCTCTCACACACTCTCTTCCTCTCTATCTGTCTGTCTCTGTCTCTCTCTCTCACTCTCTCTCACTCACTCTCTCTCACTCACTCTCTCTCACTCACTCTCTCTCTCTCTCTCACTTACTCTCTCCCTCTCTCTCTGTTTGTTTGTCTCTCTCTCCCTCTCTTTGTCTGTCTCTCTCTCTCTCTCTCTCTCTCTCTCTCTCTCTCTCTCTCTCTCTCTCTCTCACACACACACACACACACACACACACACACACACACACACAAACAAAATCTTGGTATAAGTATACTTTAATAAAATTAAAAGCACATCCGGAATCTTAACATGTTAGGGATGTTGAATCCTTTCAGTACTGTAGATTAATATAAATATCAATATTTTGATTTTTCCTATGATAATGTTAGTTTTCAGATGGCTTACATACTTCAATAAAAGTCTCACAAACAGGAAACAAAAATCCGTTCTTCAAATACAACAAAGATTTCGATAGATTTATCTTATTAGTATTCGTCGGAAATATCGTTTCGACCCGGTTCTTAAACCCAATATTTTACGATAATATGACTGCAGCAGTGGCAAATGTTGAATACTGGTGAAAAGTTTTGAACTTGTTTATAAGGCATTTTTACCGTTATCGATCTCGTTAAAGGCCCTCATAAAATGATCTCTGGTGCAGTAAATATAAAATGAGGGATAATGTGTCTGCTTTTTCCTTTTGAGTTATTTGAGAAAACGTCGATACATAATTGAAACAGGAGAAAAACGGATGATCTGTTTTAGATACATTTTCTGTTAGATTGAACTATATGTAATTTTCACACAAAAAAATGGTGTGAAAAACCAGTCGTTCTTAGTCAAACTGTTAATTGACATTTTTTTGTTTTTATCTGTGCATATTTACTAAAAATTATTAAACAATATAATTAAAAATGGCTGGGTTGAAGTGTCATGAATAGTAAGTTTCCCTTAAGTACTTATAAATGCAATGCTGAAGGATTTATTCAACTACATAAATCCTAAAGGCATTTTATCGTTACATAAATTATTTGGAAAAAGTTCGGTTCTTATTTTAATTAATTAAATATTTTTTACTTAGTCGTAATCGCGTAAAACGAAACGGTTTAATCTCGGATTGCACTAGTTTACGAATTTTTTTTTCAAAGATATAAAAATATAATGAGCTGAGGTACACCTATGGCTGGATTAACTCGATAAATTAATAAAACCTGAGAAAAATAAAATTTCAACGCCAGCAACTGAACTCAACAAAATCGGTTTTTAATTGAAGTTGAAACTTAAAATCGAATCTAAGCCAATGTTTTAAAATAAACTCACTATCCTAATGCTTAGTACTCCCTAGAGTAGGTCAATTTTAATCAAATTTATATGTCACAGGAAAGTTCCCAGTTCTATTTTATTTGAACGATTTGATTTTAAAAGATATGAAAATTTTCGGTCTGTGGCCTGTCATCAACGGGTTAAAATTATTATTCTTAATAAGTAAAACATAAACTAGATATTTTTACATTTTTCCACTGCAATTGTGAATCTTTTTGCTATACGAGTGTTTAATAAAAAAAAAAAAAAAATGCAGGTGCAATTTGCCGCACTTATACCATTGCATAATTAGGCTTAATGTTATAAACATTATTTTTTGTCATTTTCCCTCCTTTTACATCTATATTTCGCTTTACTGGATTATTTAAAATTTAAAATTCACTCTAAAAAATGTCATTGGCTTTTTTCTGGCGATTTTTTTTGTTTTTATGAACTAATGACTAATACAACCAAGAACATATTAGTCAATACTATTGTACTTATTATATTGATAATAACGTTCCTCTTTTTGCAGATTTTTTAACTAGGTGTTAAGCATCAAGTCATAAAGCCAAAGGGCATCTTAAATAAATAAACATTATCCAGCATAGTCAATTACGATAGTATTTATTGTATTGCTAAGTTGTAATCAGCACTACTCTCTTTGTGTTTTTTTTTTATATTTTTTTTTAACATGACTGTTTAGCATCAACTCAATAACAAAATAAATGAGCATTTTGAATAAAGAAACGTTTACATCTTACTTATTATTTATTTTTTTAATCTTCCCAAAAAAATACTAAGATTTGATCAATTATGTGACCGTATTAGTTTATATCATCAGTTATGATACAACGAACATAAACTATCATGTGAAAGTTACAACTTGGTGTTGTCTAATCAAAAAATACGTCTTAAGTGCGATATAAATGTTAAATTATAGAGAAAATTTTATTATATTTTAATTAAATCTCTGGAAAAACATTGGACAAAATCGGGTCACGACTGTATCGAGGATTTTTACGTTTTATTTTTATTTTTGGTAAATTTTAATATTGAAAAAATTAAACTATTGCATGTATCATCACTTTTGATATTTAAAAAAAAACTTTTTATGGAATTAATATTTATAAGAAGTCTAAGGGTTGATGGAAGTTTGACATAACATAAAAGACAAGGTGCTTTTTATGTTCCAACTAACTAACGCTTACTCCTGATAAAAATTGCGTTTTAAACCGATTTTTGACGGACAATTTTTCGTCGGAAAGTGTCAAAGGAAAGTCTGTATTCGAAAACAAAGATTTAAAACTGAGGGTGGGAACGAGGCATGCGTGCTTCGAGCACAGTTTGATAATCCGATATCAGTTAAACTCTTATTTATTTCACCGAATTTACCCCATGACAGTCGTATGCACAGTTTTCCTGGCGATTTTTCTCCCTGAGCACGGATAGGGAGGATTTCACCCTTTATTTTCCTGGGAGGGGGCGGTTTTCTTCAGGAAATCGCCGTGAGTGAAACGCGGGGGTGGGGGCGCCTCCTGTTCTGGACGCAGTGTGCAAAGGTCGAAAATTGATTTTACATGTTGATTCGGAACACTTCCATCAATACGACACACATAGGCTGGATTGTTTTTCTAGGCATTTCCAGACGTTTTGAACCTGAGACAGTTAATAAAACTATTTATATACGTTCCGGGCTGAAATATATCGGTAAAAGGCTTTGATTTAAAAGCTGGGTAAAAACAAACTAACGATGAAATATATGAAAACTGTTTTGGAATCTGAAAATTTCATATTTTGTACTTTTGTCGTACAATTTTCAATATGAATGTATGTTTTTTGGGATATTCAGTATTACTTAAGAGAACAGTGGAATATGAAAAGAAAATTCGGTGTATGGAGATAGATATATGGTCTAATTAAGGGTCGGTAGGGCAGGTAAGGAGGACGTTATCTATTTGGCAGGTGAGAGACAAAGGAGGCGTCAAAGGCTACTGATAAACTCTCCATTCTTATGTCACCCTATTGATTCCCGTGGGAATAACTGTTGACTCCCGTTCCTAGGCTTATCGATTGGGATCTTAACGCGTCGCTTTTATCAGCTGCAGTGTGTGTTCGCACGTATGTGTGCACAAGTGGGATCCGCGGTCAGGGTACGGCCGAACCCACGGTGGTGAAGAAGGGGTGCGCTAAGGGGGCGGGTGGGTGGAGGAGCAGGCCCAGATACGCCGAGTGCCGCGGATGATAAAAACGCCTTAGGATATCCGTTTCGTGCCGTAGACCGTAGATCGGGTCGGCCATTTTGTTAATATGTACGGAAGGTGATCCTCAGAAGGTGTACACTCTGGCGGAGGGGAGGGTACCCCGGGTGTCTTTCAGCTACTCACTTTCGCAGATGCTCCCCTGCTTCAATATGCCCCATAGCACGTCCGCGCAGTGGTGACAGTATGTGGGCTTGTGGAAGTTCTTTTTGGCGAAACTGTGACCGTGGTCAGCTGCCATCCTGGTTGGGAGAGCTATGTGACGTCCCTACTTGCCATGGTGCGACTCACACATGGCTACCTTTCCCGACCATGGCTTCCGTAACACTGCCCCAGCCAGCGGATCGACTGCGCAGCCACACTACCCCACCGCCCCACTCTCGCCATTGTTATTGACTCTTCAAATCCACACAAACGGATTTTTAAATAAAAAATACCCCTCTTCCTCGCCAATCACCGTATACGCTCAATTCGGGCCCTTTATGGCTCTCGGTGAAATTTCACGTCTAATAAAACTAAACGATTAACAAAAACTTCTGCCGGATCAAACTGCGTGGCAGGACATCAACTATTCACAGTTTCATCACCACCCTTCATCACGATCTCGAAGCCTCTCGATTAGTGACGGGCGAGTGGTAAAGAATAAAAACCTGTCGGCTACGAAACACAAGAAGAGATCCTCGACTTTTAACAGGTCCTCTGGCTTCCAAGAATTAAAATGCACAAGATCCCGCCAGTCGAACAATTTTTCCTTTAACCAAAGCAGATCAGTTGATACACCAACATCTCAAATTATTATTAAATACGAAAAAGTCATGCCACAAGTTTTTTATATTAACAAAAATTTGATTATGGGCCTTGAATAAAGCCACTAGACGAAAGCAAGTTCAATTTAAAAACTAATATAGTAAAATACACTGAGGGGCAAAAAACGTGGCCACCTTTAATATTTTTAATTATATTTTAGACAATCTTCTATTTATTATCTTTCAACAATATTTGGTCCGTTTTAAAGGATTAAAGATAAATAAAACAGACCAAATTTCCCACTTGTGTTTACATTTGGATTTTATAAATAAATCTTTGAGTAGTCAATCATTTCTTTGTCGATTTTACTGTGAAGCTTCTTTCTAAAGTTCTAACGATTTTTTTTTCTGTACCTTTTTTAAATTTCAAATTTGTCTGAGTGATGTTTTTAAGTGATACAGACTCGGCTAGAATCGTAGCATTGTTGGAAGATGGAAGAAGTCAAGAGCCAGGGTACTTAAAATTCCCAGAACAACTGTCCAAAGATGTTTTCAATCGCTACCAAGATACTGGAGGTAACTCAAGAAGGCATGGATCAGGTCGCCATCGTGTCACATCTCAGAGAGATGATCGTTTTATTGTTTCGAATATACTCCTTCATCGACATTTTACCGCTGATGAGATTAAGCAACGACTTCAAAAAGTTAGAAATGTTAGGGTCAGTTTACGCACACTGAGGCGAAGAGTTTCAGAAGCTGGATTATGTGAAGGTCTGCCAATGGTCCAGAATTTGTGACAAACACGGGACAACTCGTTCAGGTTTCGCAAGAAATCACATCAATTGGTCTAAGCAAGATTGGACTAAAATCGTTTTCGGATGGGTTAAGGTTTTGTTTGATGTCTTCTGATGGCAGAGAGAGAGAGAAGTCTTTAGAGAAGAATAGGAGAGCGATATATCCCCGCAATATTTTCACTCCAGAAAAGCAATATAGATGGTGTTATGATTTGAGCAAGCAACCTATGGAAGGTCGCACAAACTTGATCTTCATCGAAGGTTCTCTAATAGCTAAGCGATTCATTGCAGATGTGTCATCAGAAGAAGTTGTTCCTTATATGTTTTTCTTTTTATGCATGGTAATGGAAGACCCCACACAGGTAGGATCGTTGGTGACTACTTGAAACGGGCTTCAATTCGATGTTTGGAGTGACCAGCATGTAGTCCCGACTTAAACCCTGCCGAACACCCTGAGACGAGTTGTCAAAAGGTCGCTCAGTGATGCCAGAGAATTTGCAGGAATTAGGAATAGCGCTTTTGGAGAAGTATGAAAATATTCCATAGCACATTCAAAACCTCATAAAATCGATGCCACGTCGAAAGCACGCGGTGATCAACGCAAGAGGAGTATTTACTTCATACAGAATTGAATTTTTTTTTCATTTGTTTGCCTCTCAGTGTAGTAGACACGAATTATCAAAAAGATTAAACATCTTTACACATAAAAAAGTATACGCTTAAAGTTGTTTTACCCTTACACAGTGAAATCAAAAGCAAATGTGCAGTGCATAATAAATGACAAATAAACAATTTCTCTCAGCAATGATTATTTTTTAGACGTCTTAAACTGACATTTTGCTTAAAACTTCGTAAAAAACGGGCAATAATAACCCAAACGACATCAAAAAAATTTTATTACATACTGTATGTTTTGGGATCAAAAGAATGTGTGTAGTTCTTAAAAAATTATGACAGAATGAAATTTGACTAAAATGAACTTTGCAATTGGATGCAAACGAGCTGGATTTTCTGAAAACATGAAAACTTTGTAATGAAAAATAATAAAAGTTAGAAACGAATTCTCTCTATAAAAAAAATTCTAAATGTTAGACCAAAATTTTGCTGAAGAATCAAATAAAATGGGTAAAATGGTCCAAACTACACCACGCAAGGCCTTTGTACTTACAAATTGAAATTGAAAGGACATGTACAATGCATTATAATTCATGACAGGAAGTCGAAGTTACTAAAATTAACTATGTAAATTGATATAGACGAGCGCGATTTTCCGTGATACAACAAAACTTTCAAATGAAAAACAATTTGAAAACTACTGTCAAAAATAATTATACCTTAAACGTCTGGTTCAAGATTCTTAAAAATGGGCAAAAATAGCTCAAACAATACCAGGAAAGTCTTTAAGGCGTACTTTGCGTTTTGACATCAAAAGAACATGAAATAAACTTTCTAATTGGATGCAAACAGCTCGATTTTCTGCAAACATTAAAACTTTGAAATGAAAAATAATACATGAAGTTAGGAACGATTTCTAAAACTAAAATACGGCTGAAGAATCCATTAAAATGTGCAAAATGGCCGCGGAAGTCCTTAGTACTTTACTTTTTTTTAGATCAAAAAAACATGTACTTCAAAAATCATGACAGAATGTGAAATTAATTAAAATGAACCATGTATTTTTTAAATGGATTTTCTCCAAATTGTATGATCTAACATTAAAACTAAAAACCTTTACCTTGATAAATAGTAAATGCACATTTTGGAAACGATTTAATTCTTAAATTAATTTAATTCTTCGTTTTGAGATCAAAAGAACATGTGCAATGCATAAAAAAGCATGACAGGGAGTCAAAGTGACTAAAATGAACTGTATAATTTGACACAAACAAGCAAGATTTTCTGAAAACATTAAAACTCTAAGATAGAAAATAATACATTATCTGTATAGAGACGATTTCTCTCAAAAATAATACTTTTTGAAACGCCTTAGACAGGAATTTTGCTTAAAACTTCATAAAAATGGGTAAAAAAAAGCTCAAGCGACAGCAAGAAAGTCCTTTGTTTGTACTGTTCGTTTTAAGGTAAAAAGAATATGTGATTTAAAAATCATGATTAGAAGGTCAAATTTGTTGAACTGAAACCATTCTTCCAATATTTTTATTTTTTGATGAAATTATTTTACTTTTTTTTTAATTTAAATAAAGGTTTTCCCAACTACTTGTATTTATTTTCGCTCCTGAAGATAAAATTCCGAAAGGAACGATTATTTAGTTGAAATATTATTAATTGAAAATTAGTTGAAAAAATTATTAATTTGACTGAAAAAATGCCATAAATTGTTGAAAGCTTGGCTTCATATAATACCTGTTAAATAGTGATGTCCATACACCTAACAAAAAAATATGATACTGATTTGATGATAATCAGTTTTATAAAAAAAATCAAATTCACCTAATTATTTTAAAAAAATAAAAAATAAAAATAAGGAAATGGGAAGGTAAAAAACACAATAAATTTCCTAGAGATATAAATAATTTATTTTTATATTCATATAATCTATCTATCTATTTCAACATGTAGATTTATAATAAAAACTAGACTCAAATTTTAATATATTACCTTTTTACTTTCTATCATTTCATCTTTTAAACTTTTTTAAATTTTTAACATATTTTAACTTCTTTCTCTAGACACATTTAAGCTTAACTGGTAGTTTATCTGAGGACTTATTATTATTTAAAAAAAAATTTTTTATAAGATAGGATATGTTTATAGATTAAACAGATCTCATCTTTCATTTAACCATTATTTTGAATTGATTCATAAAAAAAAGAAAATAGAAAACCACTGAGAAAATTATAAATGCATATCGTTACCAAAATTAAATATACAAACGTCAATCAAACCCTACACACATATTTAAATATCAATTGAAACAAATTCTACCATCAAATTTCACGTCATCGAACACATCTAGAGTTTTCTATACACCGACATACTATAAGTCCTTATAAATATCGTTTCACAACACCCTCACTTTCCCTAAGACTAATGAGACAGAATTGATTAATATTTATCAATTCAACTTTCGCAGCATTATTATCAATTGATGGCATTTTACTGCACAGTTTTCTTACCTTAACTGACATACACAAATGTATACACTGTATTAACCTTGATAAAATTAATTATATAAACATCCAGACATTTATTGTTCAAAACAAGTCGAAAAATTATATATTACATAGCTACTGATAAAAACAGAAAATGATGTATGGTTTGTGTTGTCTATTTTTTAGGTTCATCACTTATGCTATATTATACATATTTTGCTTACTACTGTTATAATTACTTTTTATTAGTTAAATCACAGGTCCAACAGTTTAAACTATGTATTTTCTTGTAATATTCTAATGGTATTTTTTTAAATAATTATTTGTATTGATTTGAAATAAATATAATTTCATGTGTAGCTATAATAGAAAATTGACTTGAAACATACTCTTAATCAAAGAGTTAACAATTTTTTTTTCTACATCTATATAAAAATAGTTGCCATTTAATTTTAATTTTAATATTTTACAATAATAAACTTGTTAAAATGGACTCGGCATTTTAGTTTAAGCTTAGTTCAACACATTCAAAATTTAGCAGAAACATTACCCTATGGATAAGTCTAATTGGGTGCAAATGAAATGCATTTTTTTATAGGAATAAAAATTTACTTTATAAATACTGTTGCAATTTATTACTATTTATAGCAATTGTCATAGCAAATAGTTCACAGTGAAACAGTTATAAAACAATTAAAAGAAAAAGACATTTCATTCACATCTAAGTTAATATTAAACTATAATTTTTAAATCATTTTAAACAAAAAAACCATGGCATACGCCATGGCAAGCTGACATGTCATTTATTGACATACATCATGATGATTTATGCTTTTCAATGAGCACCCACTAACGCTATTGTTCTCGATTTCCTTAAAGCAGACAAAAAGATATTTGAGATCATTATTAACTTTTTTTTGTTATACAAACTTACCTTCAATTTTCATTAGATGCTAAAATTACATTTATTACAAATGCATTAGTAAAAGATTACAAAAGAATTGCCTAACAGAATTTTCTAAATAGATTGAAGAAATGTGATTTATTTTAGGACTGCAGGACAATGTTTTTTTATAAACATAATACAAATATATAAATTTTGTGAATTATTGTTCTGTTTAAAAGAAAAAATTTGTGCTTTAAAGAATTCAATTTACAAAATTTTATTGCAAATGTTAAGCAGTTCATAATAATCGAACATGAATGATATAAAACATCTACAGTGCAAACACATATCAAACGAGGAAATATCATCGACAATCACCAATTTACATTAGGCAAACCAAATGTCAATCATTATTGATGATATGTCTAGGATAAGTACTTAATCAATGTTCTCCAATTTAATAGATATCTTTCAAAATAGATTGGCAATTGTATTCAAAAGTGGATAATAAATCTTTATTATTACACCAAAATTTACTTATACTACTGTTCCTCGCAGGTTATTTTTACTGTGGTTGCAGGTAGTCTGCTTTTTTTTAATTCAAAGAACATTTTTGAAAGAAAAGCTAAAATCTCATCTTTCTTAGATACATAGCTCATTAAATTTTTGATCATTTTTTTTGCTATAGTCGAAAATTAATTTGTAATTAATTCCATTATTATTGATAATTTTGATGTAACTATTGACTGTCAGAAGCATTTTGGCATTATACCAAAGCATTTGGAATTGAAGGTGGTTAAATATCTAAATGCATCTGACAGAACAATGAAAATCAAAATCATCAGTAACAACAAAATTTTATTACGTTTCATTACTCCACAGACAACATGATAAAATCTCACAATGAACATTACTTCTTTGAAATTCCAGTAGATAATTCTATCTGATAGTATAGGACATAAACAGTTTATTTACTAGGCAAAACTATGAAAAGATCTGAAATGAAATAATAATAATAAAAATAAACCAAGCTCATCTTTTCACAGGTAATACAATTTTTTTTTTGTTGAACAAAATTGAATCTTAAGAATATAGACATAACAGAAAGGAGAAACATTCATCTTGGACACCATTACACTAATTATATAAATCACATTAATACCAATGATGAATTTAGTAATTAGTAATAATTTCTAATAAAACATGACAAAATTAAACCCAATTCTGTTTAAAAATCACTTGCAATTCGAACTTTTAAACAAATCTTACATTGTTTTCCTTTTTTTTAGCACAATTTAGGAATAAATTCAATAATATTTAAACAAATACAGTCATAGCAGTTTTACAGGGAAAAATCTGCATTTTACGACAACCAGCTGTTCACCATGAGCAACCAAACCGCTAAATGTTTTACTCATGATAACTAACTTTAACGTGAAACATAAGCCCAAACCTGTAAATGATTGCAGCCCCCTTGTAAACCTTCGTAAACCTTAAATAGGTTTTTCAATGAAACAAAAAATACCATAAATAAGTTGGAGTTTATATTGCTATATTATTACTTAAATATAACTCCATCATGAGCCATCTTGACCATCGACTAACGACAAAGTTTCAAATTTTGTAATAAACTCCACAATAATTCAAAAGCAATAGATCATTTAAGAATAAATAAGGTAACTATTGCATATTTAAAGAACAACATTTTGTATGTTAATCATTATTTTTTTATTAAACCAAGAGATCAATATAAACATGTGTGAATGACAATTAAAACTCAACAAGAAATTATTCCAATTAGTTAACCTACAATAAAAAATATTGTGCTGGAAGCTAAATTATTCATTGAATTAAAAACATCAATTTTTAACTTTTTTTAATGTATAAAATAAAGGAGGTTATTCTCGGCTGCCTCTACTTCAAAAATAATGCTTAAAATAACTGGAAGAATCATTTTTGAATAATAAAATTGGTTTTGCATAATACAAAAACACCAAAATACATTAATAAACTTAGGAAGAAGACAAAATATTATTTCAAAAATAAACTTTTCTCGTATAACATTCTAACACTGAAATATTTCAAATGACTAGAAAAAAATAATCTGTTAACTTTTTTTAAGTATTAAAATGTAAATATGCAGTCAATTTTGGAAAGTAATTCTCCCCAAATAAAGAAATTTTAATGGAACAGCAATGATCTTATAAATGAAATGCTTACATTTTCTCCATTTGGACGACAAGCGATTCTTCTCGATAAGAATCCCTCTGATCCCAGCAGGACGCCCCACAGGAGAAGAGAAATATTGAGCCGAATTCTAAATGAGCACCGGTCTCAGATCCGAGCAAGTGTAGCTTTGGGATGAGAGTGGGCAGAATCTGAAGTTCAAAAAGAAGTTCACCTCCGCAGTGTCTGCACTGTTTGGGTCGGTCATGCATTGGATAAAGCGGCAAAGGATAACCACCATACCTGTAAACAAATTTATCAATTTAATAAAATTACATGAATGTACATGACAGCTCAAGTAGTTAGAGCAGCGGCATATTGAGCCGAAGGTCTTGGGTCAAATCCTGCTCATGACACTAATTTTTCATCTCAACCAAAAAAACCTTAGATGAAAAGAATAATTAATTGGAATAATTAATATAGTCAATTGTAACCACTAAACAAATATGGATTAATTTAATAATTAAAAGAAGTAATTATTCACTAATAGCTTTCCGTGGCCACTTATAAGTCACTGAGAATCGAATCCTGATTACACAACATTTGAAAATACAGCAAAAAGAGGGAAAATTCAAACGGTTTTAGGTTGAGATGGAAAATTGGTGTCCAAGGGGAAACAAAGACACAAAAGCTCAAGTGGTTAGAGCAGCGGTGTATTGAGGCAAAGGTTGTGGGTTCGAATCCTGCTTGTGACACAGATTTTTCATCTCAACCAAAAATCTTAGATACAAATTGGAATTACATTTATTACTTAATGACATGAAATTTTTAATATAAAATTTGCCTGTGAACAGTTTTACTTAATTCAGAAACTATTTACATTTTCTGTAATATATTTACCTCAGTAGCTGCCCCGGGTTCGCTTGTATCCTTGAAATAAATTGAAAGAATGTTTTATCCCCATGAGCAGGAAGTGCCTTCTCATAATTTTCTTCCATGCCGCCTGAAGCACCTCCACCATTGCTTCGTTCATCGATCTGAATGGACTGATAATCACCAATCAATGAGCGAATATGCTCTGAAGCTGTCGGGCTAGAAGGTGAAGTTATTTCTTCCTCCCAGACGCTAATAAAATACGGTGAAAAATGGAGACTTGAATTCGGCACCTAAAAATGTGTCATGAAGTATATAAATAAAATGAATTATTATAAATAATGGATTTTTTTTACTCACTTGAGGCATGGGGACAGCTTCTTCTAACATTGCAATTAAATTAATTTGTGGGGCTGTTGGCGTGTCGATGCAAACCACCTCTCCTTCGTCTCCTTCTATAGTCGCAGATGTGTCCAATACTCCCATCGCTCCTTCCACAGAGCCACAGCTATTAGCATTCCTTTCATCTACAGTCAATTTTCTCATATCTACATATCAAAAAACATCACTTTCTAAAAAATTCGAAAAATTGACTATTAAAAATACCATTAGTAATGTCAAGAGGGATGCCAACAGCTTCTCCAGTTGTATCTCCGATGTCGATCGTATTTCCGTTTTCTTCGTCATCCCAATTATCACCACCAGCACCCATCCAATCGTTCTGACAATAATCATTATGCTGAGGAAGTTTAGATTCAGATTTAACGTCGTTTGCTTTGGTCTGGCTTCTCAAGCAAACCCAGCTGTAAGAGATCGAATTATAACAAGTCCTGATTTATTTTTAAAAATTTTATAGCATACCTTCCATTCTGGTTCCAACAGTTTGGATTAATACATGCAAAAATGTACAAAGTTCGGTGAAAGCTAGTGAAATCTAATGGTGCGTAGATTTGCAATACAAGAGGAAGATTTAAGCCACATAGTTTACAAGTCACAGCTGTCGGAGCATCGCCAGGCCAATCCTTAAAATTAAAAATGGGAAAAATAAATTACCTAACATATTTTAAATTTAAATAATGTAAAATAAATACACACAGGTTTTCCTCCGATTTTATTAGTTGTAAAATCAACAATGTCTTTGTGTTTATCAGTGATCGGTTCATCTTCATAGCCCAGCAGGACTCTGTTACCAATCCGAGACATGGTGCCTTGTTTTAGTTAACTCCGTTCATATTACATTCACCTGAAATGGAAAAACTTAACAGTTTATATGAATATCTAGTTAATATGGATAAAAATGTAGTTTACTGTAATGATAAAAATATTTGTAGTTTGTCTGCCTGTTCTTACTGGTTCGGTGTGTCTTTTTTAATAGTGTCTGGTCAGAGGTAAAATATACAGTGTGAGGTCTTTGTTTAAGGTAACTTTTGGAATGCCAAAGAAACAATATTGATTAACAAAATAAATTAAACCTGCTCAAAAGTTTTTTTTTACTCATTGGACACACTGAACCAACAAGGATAGCAACAAAGAGACTGCGGGGGCTAGTGGTTGCCACACTTGGGGTTCCGGATTTAAATCCTGGATGGAATTTTAATTGCGAATAATATGAACAAAGTATTGTAAAGTGGTATGCAACACCCATTGGCTAGTTAGACGTTAAGCCCTCCTGTATGACAGGATAATTAGGAATATGTATCTACCCCTCACAACTCAAAAATTTATTTGTTTTGCTATGCAACTTTTCCTAACAACTTGTCTTTCAGGCTGTAATTCTTTTTTTTTTTTTTTTTTTTTTTGTTTAAATATATACTTTATTCTTTTATGCCACTATGATGTTCAAGTGCCAGATTTGCCTAGAAATGTACAATAGCAATATTGAAAAATTACAGATGTCAAGTATAAATAGCCAGGATGAATATTTCCAGAATGTCGAAAGAGTTTGTTACCATTACGGAGAAATCACTGAACAACCATAGGTCTCTGAGTAACAATTGTTTTTTGATGATTATTTTTTGCGATTATTGGGTAAAGTCTCAGAAGCACTTTTTGATCACCCAAGAAGATTTGTCAGTGGTCTAGAACTTAACAGTAGGCGTATCCTAAATTTTGCAAGGAACCATCATCAATCACCATGCGTATTTTAACCTCTGACGGACGATGAAGCAGTACACTTTGTCACAATTAATTTGGCCTAGTCCAAGTAATTAGGAAGTGAAAAATGAATCAAATATCGATAATGGAAAATGGCAAAAAGAGGCAAAAGGATCAAATTTGGTTTTTCGATTTTTCTAATTTCAGGACTTTTTACATTTGTTAATGATACCATTTGTTATAAACTGTTTTTTCAGCCTAGTCCAAGGTTATTAGGAGGTGAAAAATGTATGAAATACCGATAAGGCTTGAAACTGGCAAAAAGAGGCAAAATAACCAATTTTGGTTTTTTGAATTTTCTAATTTCTGGACTTTTTACATTTGCCAACTGGTCCATTTGTTATAAAATGTTTTTTCAGCCTACTCCAAGTTAATAGGAGGTAAATAATGAATCAAATATCGATAATTCTGTAAAATGCCTAAAAGAGGCAAAAGGTCCAGTTTTTGCTTTTTCGAATTTTCTAATTTCTGGACTTTTTACATTTGTCGATCGTCCCATTTCTCATAAACTGTTTATTCAGCCCAGTCCAAGTTAATAGGAGGTGAATAATGAATCAAACATCGATAATTCTGTAAAATGCCTAAAAGAGGCAAAAGGTCCAGTTTTTGCTTTTTCGAATTTTCTAATTTCTGGACTTTTTACATTTGCCAACTGGTCCATTTGTTATAAAAAAAATTTTTTTTTTTCAGCCTAGTCCAAGTTAATAGGAGGTGAATAATGAATCAAATATTGATAATTCTGTAAAATGCCTAAAAGAGGCAAAAGGTCCAGTTTTTGCTTTTTCGAATTTTCTAATTTCTGGACTTTTTACATTTGTCGTCTGTCCCATTTCTCATAAACTGTTTATTCAGCCTAGTCCAAGTTAATAGGAGGTGAAACATGAATTAAATATTGATAAATCTGGAAACTGGCAAAAAGAGGCAAAAGGTCCAGTTTTTAATTTCAAGATTTTTTACATTTTTCAATCGTCCCATTTGTGGTAAACTGTTTATTCAGTCTAGTCCAAATTAATAGGAGGTGAAAAATGTGTGAAATATTGATAATTCTGCAAAATAGCACAAATTTGTCAACCATTCCATTTGTTATAATCTGTTTTCTCAGCTTACTCCAACTTAATAGGAGGTGAAAAATGTATGAAATATCGATAAATCTGGAAAATGGCAAAAATATGCAAAAGGACCAGTTTTTCTTTTTCGAATCTTCTAATTTCAAGATTTTTTACATTTGTCAATCATCCCATTTGTCGTAAACTGTTTATTCAGCCTAGTCCAAATTAATAGGAGGTGAAAAATGTATGAAATATCGATAAATCTAGAAAATGGCAAAAATATGCAAAAGGGCCAGTTTTGGCTTTTTTGAATTTTCTAATTTCTGGACATTCTACATTGTAATAAAAAATTATTTTGCTGGAAAATTGTGAAAAGTTAAATTAATGGCAACAAGTCAAAAACATTATAGGGCCCTGAAAGCCCTTTTTGATGATGCCTTACACCAAAGATCTGCCAATGGACTAGAACTTAACAAAAAGCCTAGAAAAACTGAGAAAACAGCTGCTCGCACTCTTAATCTTCTAATGGGTACTATGTTGAAAATATATTTTTAGAAACTGTTTAATGATATTATTTATTTCCACTACAAGAACCAAGCAATATTTTCCATTCCCCGCTTGTTAGTATTGGCTATACCCTGTGCGACACATACAGGACAATGAGCCAAGAGACAAACAAAGTGGTACTTTGTTACAAAAAATTGATGGAAAAGTATGCAAATATTCTTCACGACTATGTCTGAAAAGCTTATACAATCAATGTTATATCGAATAAAATCTGAATTATCCTTTCCGTTTATGCCATAGGGTGTATATTAAATAAAAATAAATACAGCAAATATAATAATGATACCAAGTATTCATTTAAAAAATACATATTCATATAAATAAGGATTGCCATGTGTTTTGTTTTCTTTTTGTTTCTTAGTGTTCTCAGCCTTTTTAGGCACGTTATTCTCTTAAAACAAGAAAGGGTACATTTAATTCTTTAATTGTTCAAGTTTAATTCTCTTACTGTGCGTTGTAAAGCTAAAGAATGTGGTGAAAACATGTTTGGTTAATTTTAAAGCATGTAGGGTAAAAAATGAATCTTTGATTATTGTTTCTAAATCAATTTTACTGCTATATATAAGCAAGAAATTCCTTTAGCTTTTGAAAACACTGTTGAAATGAAATAACAACGTTTGTAATAAAAAATTTACTCAATTTATTTCGGAAATTCAAGACAAAATGATTGGGTGTACGAACCTGGCAGTGTTCAGTTTTTCCACCTCGAGTCTAATTTACCACACTGAAGTAAGTAACAAACTGGAAATTGGAGTTCTAGCTAAATACAAATAAAACAGAGGGTGATAACTTGCAGTAACCTATTCTCGAATGAACCCCCAGTGCAGATATTAGAGAATAGGCACGCGCCTGGCGATGATGCGATGATGCGCTGATGCCGGCGATTTTCGAATGAACAACGCCAATGCAGCATTTCAGAGCTTTCAACCTTTGGCAACCTTGCATTGGTGGCCCCAACAGAAACAAATCGGTTTGGGAAAATAATTTTTCCCTCGATTTTATAAACTGTGATGATGCTGCCAAACCTAACATAATAAATGAATATTAGCAAAATTTTATTTGCAATTATCTGTATAAACATTCAGCTTCATAACCCTAAAAAAAGAACTGCGCCTAGTGCAAAATTAAAATCCCTGGACAATAAAACAAAAATTATGCTTTAGTAATTTGACAATAACAACGGTTAAATTTATTTTTGCCATAAAAATATTTACAATTCAATTAAAAGTGTGTTTAATAAAAATTTTGATTAGAGGCATTTTTCATGTGTAGAGCCCAGATCTGGATGCGTCAAAAATCCTTCAAATATGATTTGCACTAAAAATAGCAACATACACATCATGAATACGAGTGATCTTACTTGATTAATCTTTTTTTTAACCTAGACAAATTTTCTATTTTTTGTATATGTATATGTCCTGTGCAGGGTTCTCCCTCTAATCCAATCATTCCAATAATCCAAATTATAATTTTATAATGAAAATTATTTAGACAAAAATTTAAGAAGTAAAATTTTAAAGTAAACAAATGAAACATTATACAGAGTGATTGGGAGAAAGAAAGAGAGAGAGAGAATAAGTAAGAAAGTGAGAGTGGAAGGGGAGAGTGTGAGCAAGTAAGGGAGAGAGAGAGAGTGACTGAGAGAGTGACAGAGAAAGTGGATGAAGGAGTGAGTGAGAAAGTGAATGAGAGAGAGAGAGAGTGTTAATGAGAGAGCAAAAAAGTGGATGAGTGAGTGAGTGAGTGTGAGAGAGAGAGAGAGAGTGAGTGAGGAGAGAGAGAGAGAGTGAGGAGAGAGAGAGAGAGTGAGGAGAGAGAGAGAGAGAGAAAGGGAGCAAGAGAGAGAGGGATAGAGAGGGAGAGAGAATGAATGAATGAGAGAGATAGAGCAAGAGAGAGAAAAAGAGAGAAGGAGAGAGCAAGAGAGTGAAAATGAGTAAGTCGGTAGGTGTGTGAGTAAGTAAGAGCAAGAGAGAGAGCAATTAAAACCTCTTCAACTTTGGTTTTTTGTTTTGAATTTGAAGAGACTTCCAACAGTCAACAAAATATTATCAGAGAATGAGAAAAAACAGCTAGAACATTAATTTGATAATGATGTTAAATGTCATTTTACTGACAGCTACATCTGTATATGAATATTTTACATATTTGAAAAATGAAGATAAGAACATGATTGATTATCCAATAAGGATAGAAGAAAATCAATCAGACTTACTAGCAAGCTAGTTATTATTTATTTTATTTATTTATTTTTTTAACAGAGCAAGACAATTTTATTGTTCCAAAAAAATTACATTTGCCATTTCAATTAATGTATGTATTAGATGACCTGCAGAATGGTTTAAATCACATTCTCACTCCAGACTGAATATAACCTGGGGACCGTGGTGACCGAGTGGTTAGGGTGTGAGTTGCTCATTTCATCAAATTCTCACAGTTGTGGTTTGAGATTCTCACCATTGCCTCACAACTATTAATAAATATGCACTGTTGTGGGCTTGTGTGCAAACATAGCCCATAAAATAAAATAAAATCTCATTATCATCATACTCATGGCTTAGGATGAAGATATACAATTTTAATTATTAAAAAATAATTTCTTACACAAAACATTACTTTAACATAATGCTTGTAGAAATTACATACTCTTCAGAATTTCTCTCCTCAGAAATATTTAGTAAAAAAAGGATTTATTCTTTAAGAATGAAGACCAGAATAAAGTATTCGTAAGATGATAATGGAAGGAAAAACACATCTTTCCAAAAAATAGTTCTTATTTACAATTTAAAAAACAAATGTGAGTAAGAATTATCTTTTGGGAAGATTCATACCCATACTCACACCACCTTCTTCATTTCTAGAAAAACGCATTGTATAACTTGTTTATAATTTTTATTTTGTATTTCTTTATTTACCCAAGTAGTCTTGGGCTATACACAACATCAATAATAATAAGTAGTGATACACTTTATTTTCCTATTACACAACATATAATCTACTCTTTTTTGAAAGACGACTATAAAGAACATATTTTTTTAATGTTTTTTGTTTTTTTGACACAACATTTTTAACAGTTAACCACCATATAAAACACATCGGGAATTATAACTATGTTGTCATATAAAACTGTAATTTCCATACTAGGCAGTTTACATTGATAATATACAAAATGAATGTTTAGTCGTTAAACAATGCCTTGATTATTAAATAAAACATGTGAAAGATATTCCCACATTTATTGCGTTACATTTAATTTAGAGAAATTGACACAATTGACATTTGGTTGTTCTTTCTAAATCAATCTAACAATAACTGTTACAAAATATGAAATGCTACTTACACCCTCCTTTTGGATAATTCTAAAACATAATATCACATCATACATCGACAGATAGTACAAATACAAGGACGGACTAAATCATACAATATAAAATAATCATATCAGAATTTTATTTAAAGAACATATTTTAACAATTAAAATGACTAATCCCTGTTTTTCTTTTTTTTAATTATTCGTTTAATCCCTTTTTTGTGCAAACTTAAAATAATTCCTTTATAATTTGTTTGCACGATAAGCTGAATCATAAGAAATGGATAAGAAGCTAGCTTATTCCTACGATAATTGTTTGCCTTGAGGTTGTGGTCATACAGTATGTATTCCAGTGCTTTACAAGATAGTAAAAAAAAAGTTTGATTAATTGTGGTATTCAGTTTTATAATTGACAAATTCTATCTATTCTCAATTAGAAATTGACTCTTCGAAAGATTCCAAAAATATTACCTAATCTACCCAATAATTTCAATATCATTGTTGTCTGAGTGGTCAGGATCTGGTCATCTGACTCTCCCGGAGGGCGACCTCAAATGCGATCTGATCAGACCGGTTCTGTAGTCGAGTTCGGTTCTTTGCTGGTTTGCCTGCAGCCCTTGCCCGTGACGCCTGCTCCACCTTTAAAAACATTCAAAATGCACCTAATACTAACAGAAAATCATATTACGCAGCCAAAATGTAAAAGGGCTTTTGATTCTTCACTTGTTTCTTTTTAAAACAAAAACAGATTCAACTCCATTTTCTTTTAAGCAAGAACATTCAATGATTTCTTTTGGTTCAATTTTTTTTATTAATATTTTCTTGTCAACATTATAAATGAAAGTTAACAATAAATTTGATCAATGCAAACAAGAATAAACAAATATAAAAATTATAAGTTACATTTTATTCATAAAAATTTGTCCACCCTCATAATTCTTTTACAAGATTTTTGACGCATATAAATTATTATCAGCCTTCAGAAGTAGAAAAAACTTAAGTTTATTCTGTATTTAATTAATTTCATTATTGTCACATTATTTGTAATGTAATAATATAATATAACACAATTGACAAGAAAACTTATTATTTAATTTTAAAAAAGACCCAAAGTTTGCATTTACCCAAAGGAATGTACTTTATTGAAAAATTAAATTATTTTGCAATTTTAATATTTATATGTATTATTTAAAAAAATAGCCATTGTGCATTTTATATTTTTGTTTAATTAATTACATCATATTGTCTTTGTTGGCACGAACACCAAAAAGGACATTTTTTATTAAATAGTACACAGCCCAACCAGTGGAAATGGTCAAATGCCAAAATGTGTTTGACAAAACCAGGAAGAATAGGCTGAAATGAATAATTGGAAACAACGAGAGAAGTTAATACGATCAAAAGATTGATCAACGATTAGCACATGATCAGGGATATTTTTTATGCTAAATTCTAGCGATTTCTTGAAAATTATGTTGAACAATTTAAAATTAAATCTTGCGTAGGTGGCAAAATTATAGAGCAGTGATTACAGAAAATGTGATGAGGCTTAAAATAAAGGTGTTCAATTTTTAAAAGTTTATTGCAATTTATTTAAAAACATGTAATTGGCTAGTGAGAAAACATATGTCATCAAATTTTTTTGATTGCACAGCACTGAATATCATTTAATATAAAAACAAATTTAACAATAAAGTACACCCAATCAATTGCATGCCTAATCGTTTACTTTGAGCGTCAGTTATCAGTGAAATAAGCTGTGTTTTCATAGAACTTTAGAAGAGAGAAAAAATTAATATAAAGCTTGCTCTTTTTGTTCTGTGAGAGCTACAAATTATAAACATCAGACAGGCTCTTGCAAATCTGATTTTGGACCAGGAAAACTGAAAATAGATAGTTTTTGCGTAGCAAAGAATTGAGTAAAAGTTAAACAAGGTACAATAGTTTTAAGAAGTCTTCAGTCAGTCGGCTTGTACACTTTAAATCAAATTTAAAGAGTGGAATTGAGTTGAAATATTGTATTGGTCTGAGGTGATGATTCTGTAGCTTGATCATCTCTAATCATCAAGGTATACTAATTCTTGATTGTTATTTTCAGACACGTCAGCATTTTGAAATCTTCAGTCTGTGAGTTATTCGGTTAATGTATCATTTTATTGCTGTGTTTTATTTTATCAGTTTATCAAAGAAATGACAAAATGATACACAGACCAATCATTGAAGATTACAAAATGCTGCAACATGCTTAATAAAAAATAACCATCAAGAATAGGTAGATTAAGGCAATCAAGCTTTAAAAAAGTTATTTTATAATATATAAATGGTATAGGAATATTTAATTATGTCATAAGGTTCAAAAAGAGTTTTAAAAAACATATGTTTAAAAAGTTGTGCATGTCGTAGAGTAAATAATATTTTTGGATTAGATACAGTTAAATATTTAATACCTGTCTGATTTAACAAATGCTAATTGGGCTTAATAAGCTTAGAATTTATTTTTATTTTTAAAAATTTAAAGTGGCTGCAGATTAGGTTCTTAAGATGCTATTAAAGCAAAATGCTGTAAATCATTATGCCAATTGTCAAATTAAATTTTTGTGAAGGCTTAAAAATACTCTTTTATAAAAAGCTGTACTCAAATTTAAAAAATAAAATAAATAGCTTTAAATATTTCAAAGTGTACTTTGTAATAAGATCCTTTGTATCTTGTTGGAAACAAAAGACTAAATTTTAAAATAAGAAAATGAAGTTTTTTCCGTTTTGATAACAAAGTGACAATACATGACATTTCCATTTCATAAACAGAATAAACGGTTAGCAAAGCATTGCAAGCATTACACAAAAAGAAAAAACCAGCAGCAAAATACACACGTTACATTACAAATGATCGCAAATGCAAGTAGCTAGGTAATAATAAAATAATGAGTAATACAAAAACAATGACAGAGCCTTACCTCGAAGACAGTCAAAGTGCAACCGACTTCAATGGCTTGTTTCCATTAGTGGAAGATGCTCCCTTCTGGAGAAACAGGAGCTACTATACCAGTGGCAATACACATACACACAACATACAAGTCTTTAAATACTGGGTTAAAATTATTTTCATTTTGAAGTTAAATTTTCTTTTTCGGGTTTTTTATGCCTTCATATTTAATTTAAGATATAATTTAAAAGAAGTGAAATGTGTTAAATTAAATGGTGCCATTTATTGCGAAAATATTTTATTAATTTAATTGTTATTTTGTCTGCCATAAAACTTTTGTGCCAAAATGGAATGTGGGCTTTTTTTTAGACATGCTTTATTTTTATTATTGCTTTTAAAAAATTAACGCTAAATAAAATTTAATTCATGAGATATTGTTTAATAATGCAAAATAAGTTTTACATTTTGCAATGTGCAATAATGTGTGTTTTTGTACTGCCTTTGGTTTTTAAACTCTGTATGAGTTGAACTATGCAGATTTTATTTATTTATTTTTATCATCTTTGTAATAATTAATCTACAAATTTTGAGGGTTACAATGGAAAAGGTTTGCAATGTTATATAATTTAAAAAATCCGTTGCAATTAAGCATACACATTAACAAAAGTGACCTGTGAAGCAAATAATATTAAATTAAAACAATAAATAGTGTAAATAATATTGTCAATTGACCTTAATGGTTAGAACATATATAATATCATACTATAAACATTTTCTATTATCGGGGCTTACATTCTTACATAAAAGTGTCTGTACATATAGATAATTATTTATATTTTGCATAAGCTTTTATTTACAATAATTTTCACCATAAAAAGTTTATTTAACAGTTTGAAATGCAGCTTTGATAATTTTATCAGTCAGTTGATCTGAATTTGTGAAGTGTGTGATTATGAACATTTTGATCATCTTCGATTATCCTTGTCTGTCACGCACTGGTATTTGTCTATCAGACATGTTCATCATTTTGGTTGGTTTATGGCTATTTTGCCAAGTCAGTAAGATTTTATTTATTTTTTTTTTTTCAAATGGTCTTAATGGATTTTTTTAAATGGATACCTTCCCCTCTACAGCAACGGAAAGTGCACATGACCTTCCACCTTACACCTTTATGTAAAAAAGGTGGCTTTTGAGAGCGCCAACAGACTCCTGAGATACTAGTAAATAAAGCCAGATCTAAGTTGAAACTGTCAAAAATTTTTAGAGAGGATTGAACTAAATAAGATAGCTGTAATGGTACCTGACAAACGAGAGAAAACTCAACTTTGACAGACTCTTCTAGGATGTCATAGATAACAGAATTGGAAGAAAAGAAGCCCAAGTTTCAAGAAGGGGCTCTAATATGGTACGTTTATGGATCAAAGATGGAATTAGGGGAGTAAGTGTAGTGGTAAAAGGGCCTAACTATACCCAGCATAGCCCCTTGGACTAATCCCAACAATTTTCCAAGCTGAGGTCAAACAATACAAATCTCAGCATAGGAATTAATAAAGAAAAATATGAATGATGCACAGATTTACTCTCAGACAGACAGCTAAAAAGGCTGTAAATGCATATGCTCCAAACTTGTCTGGGATTGCCAAAATTGCCCAATGGCTCTAGGAAAACACAACAAGATTACTATAAAGTGAGTTCTGAGACATGAAGATTTAGAAAGATATGAACAGGCTGATCAACTAACCAAAAAATTTGCTGCATTTTCACCCATGGGACCAGAACCACAAGGTAAGTACACCGAAGTATGTCCTTAATTTGGAACTGGAAAAATAGCTTGAGAAAGAAAAGCTCAAGCACTGGTCTAAATCACCAGGTATGAGGCAAGCTAAGAGATTAATCTCGCAAAAAGAAAGTTGCTGCAACTCCTCTCTCTCTCTCTCTCTAGCAGGCAGGATTTGAGCAAAGTTATATGCCTTTACATGGACCACTACCCTATATAATTACCACCTAAAGAAGATGGGCAAAGCAGAGACAGAAACATGCCGACTCTGTCAGGAGGAACCAGAGACTTTGGTAAGTATTCTTTGTGAATGTAAAGCATTAGCTTTGTTACAGTACAGCCACTTTGGTAAGGTAATTCTCAGACAAAAGAAAAGAGATGCGCAAAGAGACACCAAGGAAAGTGCTTAAGAAAAAGAGCACTTTCTGAGGCTATGGCTTAATTTATAAGGGTTCCAGAATAAGTTTATACAGGTCACAGTCAAAGAAAGTATTTTTTTAAATCCTTTCAACCCCCCCCCCCAAATTAATTGAAGTGATTCAAGTGTTGACATGGTTTTTGTTCTCTTGTCTTAATGCAGTATTCAAAGAAAAATTTATGAATATAGTGAAAGCATATCTAGGTGATAGAGGACCATCAAACGTGTGATTGAACCAAAAATCAATTTGAAAACCAGGTGGTAAGCACAAGCATGGTGCAGGAAATTGCAGTATTTGTATGTGTATGTTTTACATATAATAACAAAGTTCTGTTTGTATCGTTTCCACAAGTTCTATTTTTCCATAGACCACTTGATTACATATAAATTATTCTAAATTGGTATTAAATGTACAACAAACGCAGGCCTCATACCACTCAAGAAAAGGAATGGGGTACGCATGAATGGCATTGCTAGGCCCGAGTCTGTGGGCAGAGAGTACTTTTATTTCCAGAATAAGGAGGAGAGAATTTTTTGGAGCCTTTTTTTTTTTTTGCTGGCTACATTTAAAAATAAAGAACAACTCTTTGAAGAGGACTTTGAAGTGACCAATTCACTCCAGCCATCCTTATTTCTTCGCTTACATCACTTCCGTTTAATTCATCATTTTTGGAGACAAGATCATATGGATTATCATTTCATATTTGTTATTTCCTTATTTTTAAATGTTTGAACAAAAGGGTCATGTGTGTTATATTAGTAAATGGTAGTAGTAAAGTAATTAAAAATTCACAGTTAATAGTGCTTAAATTTATTAACTTTATATTATTAGTACCAATTATCACTCTTTTTTTTAATAAATGGCAATGTATAAAATTATTATACTAAGTTGAAGTATTTTCTTTTTACCATTATTTAGTTGTTTACTACAAACATTAACCTTGCAGGAAAGTGTGAGACAGGATAAGCTCCACTCACTGGTTTAAAAAAAAAATAGTTTAAATAATTTGGCACAGTAGCAAATAGCATGGTAACAATCCACAGAACTCTGAGTTATGGGCCCAGCATGGAACCACTACTCCTTTCCCTGAGTGGGCTAAGGCTTCAAATTGTTATAAATGTTAGGCAATTGTAGGAAATTGTACATTAATAATAATACAATTAGGAAAAATGAATCTCATGGAAAAAAGTAAAAAGTATCATTAAAAAGTAATTAAGTATAAGTAAAGATAAGTTAACTGTAGCATATCCTTTTTTATTACTGACACTTAAAAATTAATAATGTATTAAATGAGGTTAATAATTATCAATTATGAAGTGGCTTTGTTGAAATGGAGTGTTGTTTTGTTATTTTACACTGTTTGCTAGCTAATTTTTAACTGAAAAATAATAAGATGAAGATTTAATGTCTACAATTATAGAATTTCATAGAGTTACAAGTTTAATAACATGAATTTTTTTATTGTCACAGTATATATATGATTAATTTTAATTATTAATTATTACATTAATTATTATTATTATTATTTATTGTTAATACTGTAATTAATCCATTAAAAAATATATACATTAAGCATTCTGTTTTGTTAATTGTGAATAGGGATATAATTAGATCAAATGAAGGATAATATTATACTAGATTATGCTCTATTTTTATTTAAAATTTTGTATTTAAATCTATGTTTTTAAAACTTGCAAATCTTTTATTTGTTTGCCCTCTTAAATAATCACTTTTATTTTAAATATAAACTGTGTGTAAATAGTGAAAACAGCAACACTTATCATGCAAGACACAACAAAAATGTAACATTGTTGTCGTACAATTATATAATTTATTTATGATTTTTTTTTAAATATACAGTGTTAACATTTTGATTTATTTCGTTATATTTTAAACAATGATCACAAGCGATTTTCTTTACAAATAATCCGTTGAGCAGTGCTTGGGATCTCGGTCAATTAAAACTCCATGCTTATTTATTGTTATTTTTTAGTGTTTTTAATTTTTTTTTGTTTTAATATTTCATTAGTGAAAACCACAGTCATGCCACATTAGCCCATGCACGTCACGGTAAGCTCTTTCCAATACTCACCTTGCACTATGACTCAAGAGGATGATGTTTCTGTAATAAATAAAACAATTGCTGTCTGCAAACAATTATATATAAAGATAATCTACAGTTTAATAGTCTATTGAAAAAAATTAAAATAAAATAAAAACAACAACAAAGTGGTGAGAGAATCAGGTCGTGTTTGGACAATTCAATTCCCTTTGTTTTATGTGTCCATTTCAATTAGCCTCCTTACTGAAATATAAATCAGCAATTTAAAAGAAAAATATATTAGTTTAATCTCCACAGATTTTGTTTAAATTTTTTTTTCAATAGTGTAAATTTGTGAAAAAAAATCAAATGCAAAACAAGCTACTCATTTCATACGTCCTCACCAATTTGCATTTTCTTTATTATTTGGCAACACGTTCAATTAAAAGAAAATTGGTAGTCTCCCAAATGGATATCTACTTCAATCTATTGATGCCACAAGCTTTTCCTTCTTGACCATGGCGTTCATTTTGTGCCTTATTAAGCAATATTTATTTTCACTATTGTTTAATTTCCTGATTTACCATTAATTGTATTTAAGCTTTAAATCTTTTATGGCATTTTATGGGTTGAATTTATTCAAAAGGTTCAAATAGATTATCAAGAATTTAGAAGTTTTCATCTGGAAATCTTTCGTAAAATAAAATATTTTAAAAAAGCATAAGCTTCAGGGCATTTTACTGCCAAAATAATTCTTTTCACTCTTTCAGGTTAATGTGAAAAGTAAAAATATAAAATCACAAAAGTTTTAGATAAAATTTGTTTAAATTTACTTAAACTGGCATGAAATATATCAATATTTTTGAACGAGTTTAACATTTTTGTTGTTCTTGGGATAAAACTGAATTTGGCATAATTATTTCTATGATGATCAACAGAGAATATTAGTCAATTTCTGCAATTATAATGGATGGAACATAAAAGTTAATTCGGTTAAGCAGTCATGGATACAGTAAGGAATGTAATAATTTATATAATAATATGCAATCAAAGAATTTCCTTCTGTACAGAACATTCAATTTCAGATCTGACATTAATGATGAGTATTTGGAGATCATGGGATGCAGTCTGGTGTGACGTAGGTTTCAGAAAAACTTTTTCTTTATCATGCCAACATTTCGATCATTATTAAGATCATCTTCAGGGCCTGGGATTTATAAACATTGTTTAAATTTTACAAATACATGAAGGATGTGAATGAATTTTTACAATGCTAGAAAATTTTAGATTAAAACAAGAATATTTATACAATGCTATAAAATTTTAGATTTACAAACGAAGGCCCTGATGATCTCAATAAAGATCAAAACGTTGGCATGATAAAGAAAATGTTTTTCTAAAACCTACGTCACACCAGACTGCACCTCACGATCTCCAAATAATCATTGGCTAATGGTCAGTAAACACCACACATTAATGATGAGTATGGTGTATTTCTGTATTCTCCGATTGTATCAAGCATAAAAATCTTTTTTGAACTGCTTCTGTGCAACTGATATGGGTGGATTGAAAAAGGTGAACAGTAATCTCTAATATTGGTCTTACAGTGGAAGTATATACATTTTAGTATGATGTGTAATAAATCCAAATGTTTTATTTGCTTTAGTAATAGTTTTAGTATTGTGTGTGAAAGTTTATCTGACTGTTAATAATGATGCCAAGATTTTTAACAGTCAGGTGTCTAATTAGGTGTAAGTCTGATATAACGTAGTTAAATTTGATATATTTTATTTTACAGAAAGTTTTTTGGAAAAACTGAAAATTGTCAGAATTTGAAAGAATATTATTAGTTGAACACCATTTATTAATCCATATATGTATTTTAGTAGTCATAGTTGACCGAATTATTTATTTAAATTAATTATGCTTTTACAGATGGAAGAGAATTAGAGATATCGTTTATATAAATTAAAAAAAAAAAATGTGGAACGCTTCACGATTTTGCGTGTAAAAAAATGTGGAACGCTTCATATATAAATTAAAAAAAAAAAATAAATAAATAAAAAAAATAAAAGGTCCTAAGTATGATCCTTGAGGAACTCCAAAAGTTGCTAGAAAACTATGAAAATACCAATTTTAATTTTTACTTTAAGCATTTGATATTCTAAATAGGTTTTAAATCAAGATAATAGCTACCACATATGTCTAATTTTTGCAATTTCTGTCATAGAATCACAAGATCCTTCAGAAAAAGATTGTAATATATAATCTTGAAATATTAGCAAGTTGGTTAACGTAGATCTTTGCAAATGAAAAACCATGTTGGTTTGGAATAATAACGTTTTTAAATATTGGGTTTAAGAAATTTAATATGATACTTTTAAAAACTTTGCCCACAGCAGATTGTATACAAATTGGTCTATAATTTTACAAATATTACTACTTTTATTTTTAAAAACCATAATTATACAACTACTTTTAAGTGCATAAGGAAAAATCCCTGTGTTGAGAGAGAGAATGTATTTATTAGTGTGAATGTGTAATGTGACAGGGCTGATGGCGGATCGTTGAGTACCCATCGGCCCTTAATTAGGTTAGTTATACAATAGGTGTAAAGGGTGATGGAGGAATATCGAGTATTACACGAGATTAATTGAGTGAATGGACTCTTAAAATTATTATTGGGTTGTCCGGAAAATAATGCAGGATTTTGGTATTAAACAAAAAAAAAGAAACTAGTTACTTTAAAGCAATGTTCTTTAATCAAAATNAATGAGTAATCCTGTAAACGTAAACAGAATATTTTATATAGATTTTTTTTAATGAAAACTTAAAATCCTGCATTATTTTCCGGACAACCCGATAAGTAAATTACATTCTTAAATAAGTAAGAATATATTTAAGAGTGGGTGAGAGTGCGAATGGCAGACAGATTGGGGGCTGAAATGACCAAGCTATTCTTACCACCCCGGAGCCCGACATCAGAGGGTAAACCCTCTACTGCTAACACCAAGGCCTGCTGGTAATTTATTGTAAATTACAAATGTTTGAATTGTTGGTGGGCTGTGAGAGTGGGCTCACTCTGGATGTATCAAGCATGTTTTTGCAGATTTGACCTTATGTAAATCAGTAATTAGTAATTATAAACTTTGAATGAACGACATTGTGGTTGTGTGAAAATTCAATAAATTATGGACAGTTTAAAAGTAGAGTTAGATAGATCATGAAAAGATTTAATATATTTTCTATTTTTTAATAGAAGACTATACAATATTATTTGAAAAAATAGTCCAATTTTTTAAAGAAAATTAATAAATACATTAAAATTCTGCTAATAGCAATTGTGGTTGTTAATATTAAATTACTTTGCTTAAAAAAATAAACAAAATTACGATCATAAAACCCTCTAGGGGACCGCGGTAGCCGAGTGGTTAGCATGAGAGACTCTCACGCCGCGGTCGTGGGTTCGATTCCCACCGTTGCCCCTGGCCCTTTTTTCCCAATAACCCCCCAAATTTGAACNAAAAAAAAAAAAAAAAAAAAAAAAAAAAAAAAAAAAAAAAAAAAAAAAAAAAAAAAAAAAAAAAAAAAAAAAAAAAAAAACCTCTAAATTCAAGATAATCATTTCATATTTAGTTTTTATGCAATAATTAATTTGTTCACATTTCAATTTTTTATATAAAAAGTATAAATAAAGAATTTTTAAAAAAGTGCAATTCTGAAGCTTGATGTGGTCAAAATAGTTTGAAGATTAATCAAAAATGTATAATGCACTACCAAAAAAAATTAATTTAAAAATATAGTAATAAGAGTGGTGTATAAAGGAAAATTGTTAATAATAATTCCGAAATATGTACACTACTTTCGAAACAAACCATGTTGTAAAATTAATCCCAAGCAAATTTCTTTGGCTAACTGGAATTATTATTTATTAATATCTATTCATCATTTACCTTAGAAGTCTAGTGATGTATGTAGGCCAATTATCTGGAAACATGACTAAGAAGAAACCGATTGAAATTAAAATCATTCCAGCAAGCTTCATGCCGAGGAATTGCGCCCCGTAAAGAACAACGTCAAGAGCTGAAATCACAATTTCCTTTTTATTTTGTCGTTCTCACAAAATTGTAAAAAGTTATTTACCTGCGGAGACAGGAACGGCTGTTATGAGACCAAGTGTTATAAAGAGATCATAAGTCCATGCTACGCTAAAATTTCCCAGTAGGTTGGCAGCTGTAATTCATATTAAATTACGATCAAAAAAGTTTCAAAAAATACTTTTAAACTTTTTTTGCTTACCGAGTGACAAAGCACTAGCAGCAAGAAGCGCTGTCCATGGAAGATATTCCCAGTAGATAACTTCAACTCCAGTGAAATAAAGAGCTAGGCAGAGTGGCCACAAGAAAGTAGCGTTGAAAAGGCCAATCAATGAGAAGAAAAGAGCAACTTGACCAAAGTTAGAATCACCAATTACTTTTTTGAATAAAACCTAAAAAAAAATTCATTCATTTCTAGCAAATAATCCATGAAATTTATATTATAATTTTTTTACATCGCTGTTGTTTATAGGTCAAATCAATCACAATTATCTTTTCTTTAATTTATCATAATTAGTTTAGATTGTATCAAAATTACCTGATACACAGCAGAACCAGCAGCAGCTGCTGCTGCTAGAACTACACCACTTAAAGTAGGACTGCCCGTGATCCCATCCATGTAGGCCAATAGAGCAGTACCCGTATCACATAATATCACTGCTACAATCTATTAAAATAATAAAGTTTTAAAGAAATTAAAAGAGCTAACTCAATAACATGTTTACTCACCCTGACCCCCACAAACTGCTTATGCAAAATTACCCACGATAACAGATAGACGTAGGCCACATTCGAAGCAAACAACGCCATTACGTCCGTCGCTAATAGTATCCTAAGCGAATGTATGTACATATAATTGGTTGCGACCCACAGAAGGCAGAATAGACTTACTCTTGTCATAAACCTCCCTAGAATAAATGTCTTTTTAGTTATAAATCTTTTAAAGTTTACATAACCATCCATTACCTAGTGTGAAACCCTTTTCTCTAAAATTCCTAACACTCTCACTAAGTATGTCTGTCGTTGATTTACAACGATTTACAATTAACTGACAAAAGAAATATAACGGGAAAAAAAGTATAGTCCAATTTGTACAAAACCACGTGGTAAAAAATGGAGCATTATACACTATAATCTGAAAAGAACACACAAATAATGAGTCGGGAATTATTATTTTTATTCAATTGGCTTACTTGTTTTTGAGTCATTTCTATTGTTGTTTCATTGATTATAGTAGTTGTGGTTGATGTATATGGTATATACATGTATTTTATACAGTGGGTTGCTCCGACCCAAGATGCTGTTACACAAACTGTAACGCATACTCCACTGTATATCTAAATTTGATTTTAGCATTAGTTTATAACTATAATCATACTGTGAATTTAATTTGTAAATATAATTTTTACTTTTCTGGCTGACTTTGAGCAACATGATCTTGTACAGCTCTTCAGCTTTCCGATCGCTCCAGCTGGCCTCGCTACAGGAGTCTCAGATCCATCCTGTTGGCTTCCTGTAACTAAACAATGATTTTTTTCTATCAATGAAATCTTTTGTAATTATTATGTATACAATATCTTTTAATCCTATTATAAATAATAAGTTTCTTTTACATAAATCTTAAAAAACAAAAATAATTTAAGAGGCACAGAATTTTCTCTTTCTCACAGTCTATTGAGCTGAGGTTATTATGTATTTTTTAAATTTGTATTTTGCGATATTGTGATTAAGTATGAGAGTTGATAAGTCTGTATCTTGACTGTTTATTCTCTCGGGTTTTGTTTTTAACATGAGCTTCACAATAAAATTTCACCATCTTGGTGGTTGGACGAGGTGTAATTTTGATTGTCATGTCTTTTCATAATTTTGGAAAATATGTTGTTTATCAGTATTATTTTTGTCTGGTCAGAATGATCAATACCAAATTGACATGACTTACAAAATGACACACAGGTAATGATTCTGACAGAAAAAAATCAGGCTCATCAGAAGAGGTAAAACTACAACATTATTATTACATTAATACTTGTTTATTTAATTATCCATTAAAAATCAAAATTAAGTCTATGTTAGGAAAACTCAACATTATAAATACTTAATTCACTACATTTGTGGTCTGCTTGACCAATTAATACATGACAATTAATTAAGGTTTTTAGTTGAGATGAAAAAAAGCTAATGGCCATAAAAAATGGCAAAAGGAGGGAAAACTCATAAAGTGGGGTTGAGATAGGAAGTTGATGTCCGAGTGGATCGAGGTCACAATAGCTCAAGTGGTAGAGCAGCGGCGTATCTAGCCGAAGATCATGGGTTCGAATCCCGCTCGTGCCATTAGCTTTTTTTTCATCTCAACTAAAAACCTTAATTAATTGTCATTATAAATACTTTATTGTAAGACAAAATCTCAAATAGCTCTTTGATGTTGTAATGAACAGTTTCACCTTCTAGCTAACATAAATATAAAATAAATAGTACAAAGATTGTCTGAATTATAAAACCCACTATTTCATTATAAAAATGATTAATAAAAGAAGTCTATAATTACTAGAATCATTGTGCTGCAATGTTTGCAATGGCCTTGAGAAAGGACCATTGGGGACGCTCCCCGATCTAGGTGACGAGTCAGACGTAATGACCAAATTTGGAGGCGCCCTCACCCTGTGTGGGTTGAATATCGTAGGGATGTCCCCTTCACCCCGCATATCAAATCATATCACCTGAAAATAATTATTTGCCTAAATTATTCGTATTAAACTATTGTAGTTATGGATAAAGGGAGAAGTATTCTTTTATCTTGATGATATAAAAAAGTACAGCCAATGATAAAAATCAAAAAGGTATAGTAAATTAATATACAAAGTTAAAAGTTTAATTGTCAGATTTTTAATTTTTATTTTGTTTTAAGACTTGCTGATTTGAAAATTATTGATGAAAATAAAATAACAATTACTAAAGATATGTGGTTTGACCATTAAATTTAATGTGTGGTGTTTAGTGACCGTTAGCTAATGATTAATTCATTGTCAATGTCTTGGATATATTCAAAATATAAGTACTGAAACATATGCACAGATCATACTTCAGATAAAATTGTTCATGAGGAAACTACAAACTATCATTAATAATTAAATTAATATATATGTTTTAGCTATTAACCAAAGTAATTATTTGTATTGATTTATTATTTTTTGTGCAAAATGTGGTTGAGTTGAAAAATTATTAATTAGCCAGATGTTGTGGGTTCAGTTCCCACTTGTGACACTATTTTTTTCAACTTAACCAAAAAATAATTAATATTTAGACTATAAAAAATAGTCTGTCACAGGTTAAAAAATGTAAAATTGTTTTGTTATATTCTATCGATATGATCTTTATTGAAGTCCATCTTTTTAAATGACAAGATTTTATAAAAATATGAGTCCAGTTTTACAAATTCTGAACATAGTACTCGTAAAGCTAATAAAACAAGTTAAAATTAAATGGGAAACTAGAAAATATAATTGTTAATTTTAGATGTAAATGATGTATTTATATTTTGAGATTAGCATAGAAATTAGAAAATAAATTTATTATATAGAAAGAAATTAGAGAGATTAAAAAGCAAGCCAGACAGGAAAATAATTGAGGGCTGGCGATGACCAATGTGGTTTGCCACTCGAAAAAAATAAAAGACTAACATTTTTGGAGCTATATCATCTCTATATTTCCTTCTGCACTCCTAATACCGAAAAAATTCATAAAATTTTGGTTTTGTAACTAATTGGACATCTATGCTTGCCAAAAATGATAAACCTTGATTATGATTCTAAATCCTAGAAACCCATAAATCCGAAGGCTGATCTTGGAATTTTATGTTTTTATGAGTTCAACACATTAACCCTGGTTATAAAAAAGAAATAAAAAAACAAAAAAAAACAAAGGAAGAGGAAAAATAAATTATAAAAATGGCAAATTTCTTGAGTTTGAAATGAAATAAAAAGAAATCTTTATTTTTGGATTTAAAGTTTTTTTGAATCATTAATTATTAATACAACATATTAACAGAGATTTTAGCTTGATAAGGCAGTTCTATCTTTAGGGGATAGAAGTCAAAAGGGAGTTTAGATTAAAACTACAAATAAATGTACCTAAAAAAGTAATTTGCTAAATATAGCATTATTGATCATTGATTAAATGAACCGGTTTTTGAATAGTCCAAAAATGTAGCTTAACATTATGTTTAAAATATGTAAACACTTGTAACTTTGTCAACATATTAAAATAAAATTCTATCGGTAAAAATAAAGTTAAAACTGATACTGAAGTATTGTGGAAACCCTTGTACATTACTACATAAACAAATATGTTGAGAATCGGTCAACTAATCCTTTGCAGCTAAAGAAAAATTTAAACTTAAACGGCGCATCGCAATGCTAAACCCACAAGAATGAGAAGTTGTGAAGGTTTAGAATACCCAAATCGCCGTGTTTATATAATAGCCAAACGAATTCAATAAATAACATTAAATAATTATTTTAAAATATATTACATTTCAAGATAACAGTAACATTTTGATATTAATAAGAAAGATAATAGTTTCTATTGCTTATAAACATTTTGACTAAATGCTTCGAAACAAAAAGCATTTAGAGTTTTCGTTTTTGTCAATAATTTTTGGACCGTTATTAATCAACGCAATTTTTATTTATTAGGGACAATTATATTTTTATTATTATTCATCGTTAAACACAGTCCTTATTCTATTAAAATTTGTATTTATTGTATTATATCACCCTCATAAACAGCATAATAAAATAAAGATCTCTTTTCTTTACAAAGACGATCATTAAAAAAGGAGATGTTAAAAAAAATTATTATTAGCTCCCTTTTATTAGATGTTGCAGAGTAATAATTATTACCGATTGCATTTTAAAAGAAATTTCAGTAAGCACGAATCAGCAATAAAGATATCTTTTGATAACACTGCGATTATTTTTAATCGTATACACTTAAATCGTACATACTGGTTGGCAAATAAAAAAATTCAAAAGAAAAACAAGATGGTAACTTCAACAATGAAATAAAAGTGTATTTTTAATCCTTAACCCACGCTAACCGTGAAATTTTCTAAGAATTGATTAAATTCAACAATCAAACGTCATTCTACTAAAATCTTTTTCTACTCAATGTTGAGAATAATAATCGTAACCGATCCCAATCTAAAAATAAGCATATTAAGCATGATTCAGCACTAAAAGCCGTTTTTGTTACTGATAGTGTTAATATTATTTTTAATCTCTTAAATTTGTATCGTATATAGTCTCTGGCGCGAATAAAATTACAAGATAAACTGTAAGAAGAAAAAGTAGAACAAAGTACAAGATGGCGATAAATATAAACTATAAAAATTAAACTAAACCATAAGTCACGGTGTGCACATTTTACGAAGAATTGTCCACTCATTCGTTTTTATTGAGAACAATTAGTAAGCACGAAACCGCAATAAAGCTCGTTCAAGTTACTGATAGCGCTATCGTTATTTTAATTCCATGAATTTAACACTAGTGGTTGGTAAAAAAAGAGAGAAAAAGAAAATTATTATTATGTTTTTCATATTAAGAAAAATTAGTAAGTAAGAATCAGCAGTAAAGATCGTTCATGTTACTGATAACATTAACATTATTTTATATTCTTTCAATTAATTAAGGTTTTTAGTTGAGATAAAAAAAGTCAGTGTTACGAGCGGGTTTCGAACCCACGATCTTCGGCTAGATACGCCGCTGCTCTACGACTTGAGACCTTAATTAATTGAAAGATATTTGGTCAAGCGGACCATGAAAACTAGTGAATTATTTTAATTGTATAAATTTAATCATAGTGATGGATGAAAAAAATTATTAGATAAATGTAAGAAATATAATAATATAAGCAATAAAAATAAAATTGTATTTGAAACTAACCTCACTGAATTATAATTCATGGTGGCATCACACATCGCACCAAGAGTTTTCCTTTTTATTTTTTGATGTTAAGAAAAATTAATAAGCACGAATACGCAGTAAAGATCGTTCATGCTACTGATAAAATTAACATTATTTTAATTTCATAAATGGTAAAAAAATTGAAAGATAAAGAAAAAACGATAATAAATATAAGCAATAACAATAAAAATAAATGTATGTAATTCACCCCGGCCCTGAAGATGGCCCGAATAAAGATCGAAACGTCGGGGGAAAAATAAAAAAAGGTGTTCTTCTAAACGACTTTATTCTTAACGGCTCCTCACGAATACAACAATTAATAAAAATAAAAATTAGTTTGTAACTGAACTCTGTGAACCATAATCCATTGGGAAATTACAAAAACCAGTAAATTTTTTGTTGATAAGAAAATTTATTAAGAACGAATCAGCAGAAAACATTAGCATTATTTTAATTTTATAAATGGTTGGCGAAAAACAATTGCAAGATAAAAAAACGCTATAATATAAGCTATAACAATAAAAAAAATTGCGTTTGAAAAGAATTCACCAAACCGTGACATCACGCATCCCACCAAGAATTTTCCTTTCTATTTTTTGGTCTTAAAAAAATGAATCAGCAGTAAAGATCGTTCATGCTACTGATAAAATCAACAATGTTTAATTTCATAAACGGTTGCGAAAAAAAACTTGCAAGATAAAGGAAAAAAACGATAATAAATATAAGCTATAATAATAAAAATAAATGCGTGTTTTTTCACACAACATCAATATGACACCACAGGAATAACACCACAATTTATGTGAATATGAAATATTGGGCATCGCTATATTTTCACTAGTATTGTATTTTTGCAATCAACATATTATGTTTTGTAATTCACCCAGGCCCTGAAGATGACCCAATAAAGGTCGAAACGTCGGGAAAAAAATAAAAAAAGGTGTTTTTCTAAACTACTCTATTATTAACCGCTCCTCACAATAAAAATAAATAAAAACTGAGTTTGTAACTGAAGTCTGTGAACCATAAACCATTGTGAAATCACACAAGCAAGCAAAATTTGCGTATGTATTTTTTGTTGTTAAGAAAAATTAGTAAGAACGAATCAGCAGTAGAAGATCGTTCATGGTCCTGATAACATTAACATTATGTTTAATCTCAAATTGAAATCGAGCATAAGTGGTTTCTGGGAATAAATTTACAAGACGGAGAGTAAAAATAAAATGGCTTAGAAGGTAGAAAAAATAATCTAAAACTTTATTTCTCATTTAATTAACCAAACCATAACTCACCATGAAATTACTCATCCCACCAAAAAATTGCCGACCGAAAATTTCCCCAGCCATTCTTTGTTGTTGAGAAAAATTAGCAAGCACAATCAGCAGTTACTGATAACATTGACGTTTCTTTTAATCTCATAAATTTAAATTTTAAATTGGTTGGAATAAAATTACGATTCACCGGGTAAAAAAATGACTTAGAAAGTAGAAAAGGTTATCTAAAAATGTATTTATAATTGAAATGAACAAACCATAACGCACCATGACATCATACATATTAGCAAGAAATTACTTGACCGCCTTGCCCTATTGCAAGGAGTATTGAATAAGAAATTTTATTAAAAATTTCCAATCAATTGTTTTAAAGTATGATTAAATAAATGTCTAATAATAAAAATATTGTTTGTATTATTTAAGTATTTTATTTTCCTCCCTTGTTTATTTGTTTAATTGCAATGAATATAGTTCATTTTAGTCACTTTCTTCATAAATCTTTACTTAAATGAGAAAATAATAAAATATAATCATAAATGAACATTTTTTGGTGTGTAGTGTAAAGTAACAAAATATTCTGTTATTAAACAGTACAAAAATGAGCAATAAAGGTTTCATAATACCTTGTCTGTATACGAGATTTATGATTGTTACATATGATATTGTCTTTGTCATATTAGATCAGCATAAACATAACAGCTACGATAAAAATGCATCTATTGCAAACTATTTACCTACTTTCCTACTCTATTCCTTCCTTGGCGTAGGGTTTCAATCGTTTGATTTTATCACATAACTGATGGTTCGAAGATGGCAATCGGGATGTTTTTAAGGACTTACTCGCCGATCGTTCGTCTTCGGCTTCACCATCACGCCCGGGTTATTTGTACGTGAAACGAACTGCGAACCCCTTTTCCAACGTCGATCCAAAACTAACTTTAACCCTCGGGGGGTGAATTGATTGCGTACTTCCAATAGGGCGCATGCCTTCGACGGCCACCACCCCCAAAGCAAACTAGCTTAATCCACCCTCTACCTTTGCAAACTTGGAACGGTTTAATATTTAAAAATTGCCTCGAAATGTCAAATGAAAAAATTGACAACAAAAAAGTAGATAACTTTTGTATAATAATAATATAATTATATAATTTAACTTTTGTATGAATTTACTGTAGGCTAAAAGGTCTAAGTAACAGAAATGTTTAGGTTTTTATCAAATTACATAAAAAAGTGAACTATTAAACAATCAAACTCCTTTAATTCAATAATCGCTTTAATAATCAAAATGTACATAAAATATTAATATATACATAAGGTGCTTAAACCTATTCAAAAAGTCAAAGTATCTCGAAAACGTTTAGCTTTTATACAGGGTGTTCGGCTAATCGTGTTACAAACTTTGCCCGAAGATTCTATATTCAAAATGGAACCAAAAAGTCTTAATTAACTATGGTCCGAATCTCAGCAGTTTCGGAGTTATTTCACTTTTTCTGATTTTTTAAGATTTCACGACCTTGCTTCAAATAAACAGAGATAACTCCAAAACAAAAAGGTTTTGGAGAAGTCCGTTGATACCATTGAAAACTATGTTAAATTTTCAACCAGATGTGATCAATATTAAACTTGTAAACGTTCGTGAAATAAGTGTTTTAGTAGCGAGAACTTTGAAAAAAAAATTTAAGTTGAAAAATTTACTATGGTGATTCTAAACCACTATTTTCAAATCTAGGGACCATCCAATTTCAGAAAACGTACTCCATATAATATCCTATTTAGTGGTTTAATTTATTTTTTAAATACCTTTTTCAAAAATTCACTAATTTCGTGGTCCGCTTGACCAATTAATTATTACAATTAATCAAGGTTTTTAGTTGAGATAAAAAAGTCAATGGCACGACCGGGATTCGAACCCACGATCTTCGGCTTGATCCGCCGCTGCTCTACCACTTGAGCTATCGTGGCCTCGATCCACTCGGACACCAACCTCCCATCTGAACCACACCTTATGAGTTTTCCCTCCTTTCTGCCATTTTTCAATATCATATAATATAATTTCAATATCTCAACTCAACAGGGGTCTGCTGTCTAGGTACAGTCCTAAGTATTTGACTTAAATATATAAATGGAAGTTGGTTTCTCTTTGTTGTTGAAGTAAAGTGGAGGACAAGTATGTTTGTTCAATGTTAACGTTCACTGAGTAAATTTTTTCATTCAGTCGTCATCTACTTCTTTTTGCACGAGTCTTCGATAAATTCAAGGTATATTTAAGAATTGGAGGTAGCTTGGACAGGATTCGAGTTAGTGACAAAGTTTCGATAACGTCTGGGTAGGTGGTGAAGAGTTGGAGTGTGTAGGTCAGCAGTATAGAGAATAAAGAGGATGAGACCAAGAATGCTCCCTTGTGGGACGCCATCAGTCTGACTTCCGAGAACTCGCTGCTCCATCTCACTTTGAAGCAGTGGTTCATTAGATAGCGTTTAGATTTACAAACCAAGCCTGGGTGACTACCATGTAAAAAAACGCTCCTTTTTGTTCTCTAGAGCAGAGTAGATGGTGTCGACAATAATGAAACCTTGTTGGATCGTAGAATGATGCGAACCGATGCGGAATTGGTGAGAAGAAATTATTTTATGAGTATCCAGGATGGGTATTAAACGCTTTGAAAGGAGTCCTTCGAAGATTTTGAACATTGCAGGAAGAAGGCAGATGATTCTGTATGAGGGTGTGGTTGAGAGGGTTGTGAGCTTTAAGAATGGAAATAACGACGGAATAGTTCTATGAGAGAAGTGGTTCGGAGGATGGCATTATATATTTTAGTTAAGAAATTTATGGCTTTTTGTGGGAGGTTTCGATGTAAGGTTGAGGTAATTAGATCATGTCCAGGCGATTTTTGAATGTGGTACTTAAGTTCAGAAGGATTCGTAGGTTTGAGAGGGAAACGAAGATTTTATACGATTAAAGTATAAATAATTAACAATTATACAATAAAACTTTATTAACGAAAATTGTTTAAAAATGCATAAATGTAACTTTTAATATCTAGTTGTATTTAACATAATTTAATCACTCCTTAGCTCATTAACATCTTATCACACAAAAAATTATGAAAAACTGTAGGTTTTATAAAAATTACACTACAGATTCAAAAAAAAATTTTACATTTTAATTGTGCACAAGATTTAAAGTTTAGGCACGAGAGGGTGGGAGAACCTGTCACGGGCAGCAATAACCACGCATATTTTACATAATTAAACCAGAGCTTAAAGTTATTCAATTTATTCACATCTTGTCAAGTACAAAAATGTCAAAGCAGAAGAAAAAATCTTTAGGTTTTATGAATATTTCAAAGTAAATTGTACAGTATTTAATATTTAATAATTAAAGCAGTGCTTAAACTTTACTCGGAAGAAATTTGAAGAGTGAAATTTCTGTAAGCTAAAAAAAAATACAGGAATTACAAAATTATCAAGGAAACCTTTACGTTTTATAAAATTAAAGTTAAAAGAAGTTAACAGAAAGTGTATTTACGTTTTTTATATGTGCTAAGCATATTTTAAATAATTAAATGAGGATTTAAACTTAATTCAATTTATTCACATCTTGTCAAGTACAAAAATGTCAAAGTATCAGAAAAATCATTTTTTATTTAATTTTTTATTACATTTATTTGATATTTACAACTAATTAAACTTTATTCGGAAGAATTTGAAGAGAGAAATTCCTGTAAGCTAAAACGATAAATTATCGACGAAATCTTTAGGTTTTATAAAATTTAAGTTAAAAGAAAAGGGCGTTAGTGGCCGCAACGGTTTAGGCGTTGACACGGCGCTCATGTCTGTAAGGTAAAGGTCCCGGGTTCGAATCCAGCGGCCTTTAATTCAAACCCGACATACTTACAAATGGGCTTTTTTTTTAAACACCGGCACCCTGAGGGTTTGTATGACCTCTGCTGTTGGGAACCCTCGTAAAAAAATTAAATTAAAATAAAAAAATTTAAATTATAAAAAATAAAAAAATAAAAAATAAAGTATCAGTATACGTAACATATATTTTACATTAATATTCCAACAGTATCAAAATGATAAAATGAGCCGTTGTTAGGAAAAATTCAAAAATTTGATTGATTCCAAGAAGGAGGTAGTCCCGATACATTAAATTGTATTTTTTTAAAGTCTATTGACTTTTTTTACATGTGCATAAGAATGTTTTACATAACTAAATGAGGATTTAAACTTAGTTCAATTTATTCACATCTTGTCAAATACAAAAATGTCAAAGTATCAGAAAAAGTTTTAGGTCTTATCAAATTAAAGTTAAAAGAAGTTAACAGAAAGTCTAATAACGTTTTGTATATGTATGTACGTATGCATCTATTACATAATTAAATGAGGATTTAAACTTAATTCAATTTATTCACATCTTATCTCAAATAAAAAGTCTTTTTACTACATCGACGTCCAAGAAGTTCAAAGTTGCGAATGTACGTCCATCCCAAAGATTGAACTCTATTTCCGTAATTGTGTTGAAGCGTGATAGAAAAATTTGTTATCGACTGGTCTCCTTGAATTTGGCTCGAATCCTACGTTTAAGCCAGGATTCACCTAATATATTCAGCTGCTCGTTAATTTGTGGATATAATTTAGTTCCCACGCAGAGGGAGATTTCTTTGAACTGAGACATTCCCGACCGTCCTGTGGCGAGATGGAAACGCCACCTGTAAAATATGACATTTGAGATGGACGATATTTCTTCGTCAAGTGCACTCCTCGCCTATGATGTTTCATGCCAATGGAAATGGGGCAAAATCCGGAATGAAGTGTTCTCTTTTGGTCAACGCGCCCTCACGCTAAACTTAGTTTCCACGTGCCATTAATTAGATACTTAAAAATTGTACGGTGATGCCGAAAAAATATACGTTAGGCTTACAAGCATTATACATTTTTTACAGAGAAAACAGAAAAGTATTGATCTTTTTTTTTAAATTTCATATGATCGATCATTGACCCCAGTCTGTTTTTATTTTCCAACTCCTTATATCTTTGAGTAAATTTTCACTGGCCAGGGTAACATGTTTGCTGCTTTTCTTAATAGTTAAGAGGTGAAGTCTGGTTGTTTATACAAAAACGCCTACTCTTATATAAAGACCAATAGCTTTTGTCCCATTTCACTACCATTTTGTCTACAATTAATTGATGTACTCACACCACTTTGAATATTTCTACACGATGTGTGTAGTCAATTGACCGCCCAGGTGTCAATTTGCTTCGTGTAGAAATACTTAAGTTGGAGTGTAAACATCAATGGCAGGTTTCCGCTTTTAGCCGCATCGTCTTCCAGCTCGACATGTCCAAGTACTCACCGTATTTCCGAGACGCTCCAACTGAGTGTGTATCTTTCGAACAAACGACGAGATGACCCACCGAGAATCTGTCCCTTAGGGCCCACAACGCACACGATGTCTGTGCACACGAAGAAGAATGAATCCAACCCGGACTGCACGAGTCAAAGGGCGAGCCAGATCGCATACAGCTCGGTGATGCTGTACGATACAGTCGTGTCCAAGAGCGAAGTCAGTCATAGACCTCCCAGTATGGGCATCCAAGGCCAAAAACCCGCCGCACAACTCAGAGAAAGCTTCTCTATCCAAAGTTCAGGAGGCAGTACTCCAGCTTGGAGCAAAACAACACGACGATGGTTTTTGGATTGAATGGAGGCCACATTTCTTTTGACTGTAGCTGAGTAATTGATTCTTGGATCTTTTGGTTGGGATAGTAACTTTCTTTTTGGTTTTTTCTACGTATGTATTATTGTATGCATGAGCAGAACGCCAACTGCGGGCCTGGAGGTGTTGTTAAACCTCCCACCATTTTATATTTTAATCCAAGGAGAAGCCAGAGCAGCAGCCACACGCTTATAAATGGGCAAGTATCTGCAA